AAATAAGTGCTTCGATTCCTGCTGATGCTTTAGATCAGAACATATACAAACCGCCAGCTATTGTCATGAGCACTGCAGTTACACCAGTAAATGCTAGTGCTCCATTGGTGATAAGCTGGGAGCCAGAAGCTCAAACTGATCAATTCTATGTTTACTTACACTTCATGGAAATTCAATTGTTGGCCACAAATCAGACAAGAGAATTCAACATCATGCAAAATGGTAACTCAAGGTATCCAAATTTTTCTCCACGGTATCAGCTTGTCACCACTTTATATAGCTCGTCAGGCACCAGTGGGAAAGAAATTATATATTCACTTGAAAAGACCAAAAATTCAACCCTTCCTCCCATCATCAATGCCATTGAGATTTACAGAGTAATAGACCTCCCGCAATTAGATACATTCCAAGAAGATGGTATGCCATGAAAATATGATTTGTCATATATATTTTATATCCATTTGTTTGGATTACACTATTATATGTGATCTTAACTACCCTTTACCCTTTTTTGCATTAAAAAAAAAATAAGATGATGCGATTACCACCATCAAGTCAGTTTATAGGTTGACAAGGGATTGGCAAGGTGATCCATGCGCCCCTGTAGCCTACTTGTGGCATGGTCTGAATTGTTCTTATCCTAGAAAAGAGTCCCCTAGAATCACAACTTTGTAAGTCATGCTTCTCAAATTAATATTACAGCTTTATATAACTGGAACGATAACGTGTATAACTAAAAGTTATGCAAAACAGGAATTTATCTTCAAGTGGATTGTCTGGAAAGATAGACCCTTCAATTTCAAAGCTCACCATGTTGGAGAAGTTGTGAGTTTATTTGTTTCACCTGCTCCAATAAATGATGAAACCAGAAAAAACCTTTTCTATTTTAAGAGTAAATAGCTTATGCATTATTAGTATAAAAGATCGTACCTTTCTCGGCCTTTTGGCTAAGATCAAGTGTAAAAGATCTTTGTATGGTGATCCAGTTACAAATTATATGAGATAAATTTGTTAATTTTTATAATAATTATTTTGTAAATTGTACAAATATTGATTGGTTATCACTGTAAAAAGTGTGACACTTATTTTAGATCTTTTCATTCTTTCTACTATATTCTTATATGTTTAAACATGTTTATAAAGAGGCAAGTTATTTGTTTTGTAGGGATTTATCAAACAATAGCTTAAACGGTGAAATTCCTAATTTTCTGTCTCAATTACAACACTTAAAGATCTTGTAAGTTACTTCATTTACTATTTCACCATAAAAATATAAATAAATAAGTTACTTTAACAACTATGTGATTCCTCTATAGCAGAAAATGAAAAAGGATAATGAGACATATTAGTATCGCACCATCTAAAATTCATTCTTGAAATTTATTACGAATTCACAACAGGGTCTCATTATTTTATAGTTTTTAATAAATTCTAGCATTCTCAAATATTATAGTTTCCGTGTTTTGGCAGAATTTTGAACAGTAATAACCTCTCTGGTTTAATTCCCTCGGCACTTGTTGAAAAATCTAAGGAAGGTTCCCTGTCACTAAGGTACGGAGCATACTGAAAATTCTCAAATTCGTAATATCGTTATTTATGGTGACGATTATCAATTAGTTTTATTTTAGTTTTCTACATAAATCTTCTTTATCTCTATTCAATATTTTGCAGTTATCTTTTAATCACACTTGCTATTTCTATATTGTTTTTTATTCAACGGATCATGGATTACACCAAATTATACCCCACAAGAATATTTGAATCCGAAAATTCTCTGTTAGTTCTCATGTTAACCAACGGTGTCACCTATGTTTTTCCATAGACAGTTGTTGATACACAGAATATTTCGGCACAAGTAAAATGAATTGAAGTATCTTTTTAAATTATCAATGACTTGTAAGGTTTACAGAGTGTTAAAACATAAATCTGCCGTGATTTCTATCCTAGTGTGGACCAAAATCCGTATCTATGTGAATCTGATCAATGCAACGAGAAGAAAAAGAAGAAGAAGAACACTGTCACACCCATAGTAGCATCAGTTGGCGGGGTTGTAATCCTTTTGGTGGTCGTGGCAGCAATATTGTGGACCCTTAAAAGGAGAAAATCCAAAGGTGATGCCACAATGATAAAATATTCGTAAATTTTATTGATAATTTGCCAAGCAAATTCAATTGTAACCTGTTTGTTTTCGAAACTATTGTATGATATTTAACAGCTTTGATGGTAGAAAAGGATCAAAGTCAGATCTCACCACAATACACCGAACAAGATGATTCATTCCTGCAATTCAAAAAACAAATATTTTCATACTCTGATATCCTTAAAATCACCAACAATTTCAATACAACACTTGGTAAAGGAGGATTTGGAACAGTTTATCTGGGCCATATTGATGAGATTCCAGTCGCAGTGAAAATGCTTTCCCCGTCATCTGGTCATGGTTATCAACAATTTCAAGCAGAGGTAATATTTTATCACTTTACATTAGGTTTTTGAGCTCAGCATTAAATATATATGGTTAAAAATGATTGTGATTTTGATTTGCAGGTTAACCTTCTAATGAGGGTTCATCACAAAAATTTGACCTCCCTTGTTGGTTATTGTAATGAAGAAACCCATAAGGGTCTCATATATGAGTACATGGCTAATGGAAACTTACAAGAACATCTCTCTGGTTGGTTCCCAAATAAAATTAATTTCCTGCGAAAAGCTTGTGCAAATTAAATTCTATACAAGTTTTGTATTCTGAATTTTTCCTGAAGGGACAACTATATATATCATATATGATAAGACTGACTTTTAGTCGACAAAACACATGTACAAATTTTCTACAGGTAAACACAGCAAAACAAAATTCTTCACCTGGGAAGAAAGACTTCGTATAGCAGTGGATGCAGCCTTGGGTCAGAAAGTAAACTTAAAATTATGTGTTTTGTTAACTCCAATTTTCCCTTCTTAATATGCTTGCATTAAATCCAATATCAGGATTGGAATATATGCAAACTGGTTGTAAGCCACCTATAATCCACAGAGACGTAAAATCTACAAACATCTTGTTGGATGAGAAGTTCCAAGCAAAATTATCTGATTTTGGTCTATCCAAAATGATCCCAACAGAAGGGGGAACTCACGTGTCAACTGTTGTTGCTGGTACTCCTGGTTACTTGGACCCTGAGTAAGTACTTCTGTTACTGTCCTATCCCTCATTTTAGTGAGTGTTTCTATGTGGATATACAAGTTATTGGCACATTTGGACATTTTTAGCCTTATAAATTAGTTTTGTAAGGTTGAATTAAACTTTTAATCTACTTTTTTAACATGATATTGGACTACTTATAGATGTTCAGTCTTGCAAACTTCATGCTCAATATGTTTTGTTCTTGGCATGAGAGGGATGTGTTAAAGATTCCATATCAACTAGTGATAAGGGCATAAGATTGTATATAAGTGGAGAATAATCTCATTTTACAAACCAATTTTGTAAAAATGAGTTAGGCTCATTCTCACTTATTAAAATGATATATGAGCATTTCAGAGTCTATATCCTGACGATTATTAATTATTGTTAGATCTACCGTGTCACCTCCAATCAGACTATCTGTGAATACTTATTCTTACAAATTTCATACTCAAGATGTTTAGTCGGTGTAAGGAGATATGTTAAAGATCTCACTTCAAATAAAACTAAAAGGTCATAATGATGTATATAATAATGGAGCAATCCTCATTTTATAAGTTAGATTTGTAAGGTTGAGTTACAAACATAAACTTTTTTTTTTGTCTTGCAGATATTTCATAACCAATAGATTAACGGAGAAGAGCGATGTTTATAGTTTTGGTGTTGTTCTTTTGGAGATAATCACAAGTCAACCAGTGATAGCGACCAGGGATGGAGAAAATATTCACATAAGTGAATGGGTTAGCTCGTTGGTTGCGCAAGGGGATATCAAAGCCATTGTTGACTCAAGGTTAGAAGGAGATTTTGATACCAATTCAGTTTGGAAAGCAGTGGAAATAGCAACAGCTTGTGTGTCTCCAAATCTCAACAAAAGGCCAATTACAAGTGTGATAGTGATTGAATTGAAGGAGTCTTTAGCAATGGAATTAGCTCGAACTAAACATAGCAGTGCCGATACTACAGATTCAATTAAACCAGTCACCATGAATCTGAATATCGAATTTATTCCCCAGGCCAGGTAAACTATTGCTTAAGATGACTATAATCATATATAACATGATTTTCCTCTTGCAATGCCAGAACGAGATCAAGCCTCATACAAGGGAAAAGTGACGTTGCACAAGTTGTGAATATGCGCTTTAATTTGAATGTATGTTTTCCGAGAGATACTTGTCTAGGTGTTATATATACTTGTCCTTCATGTGGCTCTGTGCTTGGATTGATGATTGAAATGGAGTGTGTAAATATAGAAGAAAAATAAATAAATGATGAGGAACGAATATCTGTGTATAATCTTTTTTATCATTTGATGCGATTTATAAATAAGCCTTCTTTTTTACTGATCATTCTTATTTGAATGAATGCAATTTCATATTTTAATAATATATATTGTTATAACTTCACTTACATTGAATTTCTTTTCTAAATCACGGTATTCATGACAGACAGTGACTAGATCCTCGAGATAGTGAGATCAAAATTTAATAGTTGTTCTTTTTTAATATAATATTTATTCATACGAGCAGAATAAGGATCAAAGCTCTAACTACGTATTTAAAAGACAAATTTATCTACTAAATATATTTTATATTATTGATATTTAGATTGAATGCCAATACAAAAGGAGTTGCACCATAAAATATTTTATATTGTTGGTATTTAGGTTGAATGCCAATATAAATGGAGTTGCACCATTAAAAAAATATATGTATATAACATGTACACGATTTTAAATTAGAATATGTTATCATTATTATAATTTTTATGTATAATATATATATATATATATATATATATATATATATATATATATACAATTTAAATTTTAAAAGAAATATAGGAGAAAATTTTGAATAATTTTCTGTTGAAGGGACAATACATGTGTAATCATGTACATTGATGTATACTCATGCAAAGGTCATAAACTTATAATTCCTATAATAATAAAAATTGTATAAAAAATATTTTAAATATTGATAATTTATTTTTATTTTATAAATTTATTTATTTATTTTTATTTTAATAATATATTAATTTTTATCATATTATATAATATAAATAGGTTGACCTATCATAATTGATAGACTTTTCTATAGTTAAGTCTGATCGTTTTATATAAATAGATTTTTTTAAAAGGTTAAATTTGGTCTTTTTATTAAATAGGTTAAGCCATAAGTCCTTGTTTAAGGTCTAATCTATTATCATCCCTAATCACGAGTTAAAACAAAAAAGCCTATTACTCGACACATAAAATGTTGGATTTTTATCGGGTCAAGTTTGATCCTAACACTAAAAAAATTCAGTCCAGACTCATTAATTGATTTGACTAGTAAGTTCGAGTTCACAGATTACTCATAACCGCTTACATCCATATTTAAGATTACATTTTGAATATTCTATATTATAAAAATATTTAATAATAAAATTATTTAAACTTTGAAAAACTAAATATCATGATATATATATATATAAGTATTTAAGAAATTAATGTCATTTTAATATGTTGAATTCTTTTGGAAAAAATGATAAGGTAGAATAGAATTTGCATTGACATTTTGAACTTTAGGGGGGTATATTGGTTTAGGATTTCATAGGATTTTAAAAGATTTTTTTTGAGTAAAAAAATTCATTGGTATTCAATCAGGATTTTATGTCACTTAAAAATAATCAAGTGGTATTCAATCTAGATTTTTAAGATTTTTTAAAGAGTCTATTAAAATTCATTGGTATTCACTTGAGATTTTTTACAACTTAAAAACAATCTATTGATATTCAAAAATATAAGGATTTAAAGGATTGTTGTATTAGAGTGATTTTGAAGGGCTTTATAGTGTTATCTATAAATACCAAATTCATAAAACAATCTCATCCAAATCCATCAGATTTCGAAGGATTGTTTGAAGTGATTTTTCAAGTGCTTTAAGAATTTTCAAGTGGGTTTTTCATTTTTTTTTATGCTCTTGTGTTCTCCATTTTTTCTCTACTAATAATATTGCACTATTGTTTATTGCTCATATATAATATTATAGTATTGTTCCTATTTCATTCTCTTATTTTGCAAAACTCCGATATGTAAATGACAGTGTCATTGACTTGCTCTATTTTTCTATTCGTTCTCTTCAATTGACTTTCTCTATTTTATTCTATTTAATTGAATTTGTTCCTTTATATAACACAAATAAAACACTTGAAATTTTAACTTTTAAGTGATAATTTTTTTTATAACTGAAAAGAAAAATACTTTAAAAATTAGAGGATAGTTAAGATCAATTGGCATTGAAAAGCTGCAACCAATGCATAGGAAATAGATATTCATAATTGCTTTTCTGAGTGAAAGACAAAATGCAAACAATTTGATGAAAAATGTATAAAGCAAAGAAAAAGAGGAAGGATTTTTCTTTTGTATAAAACAAAGAGAAAGATTAAGAGTTTTTCTTATGTTTAGAATTTATTAAAATAAAAAAATAAAATTTAGAATAATTATGATAAGATAAAATTACATAAGTACCCTTATTTTGAGCGGTAAAAAGGAATCACAGACTTATTTCCTTTTATTATAATAAAGATAAAGATATAGTCTTCAAAGTAAAAATAAGTCTATCCAATTAGAAATATTTTATTTATCTCATCACTTTTATATATTTACCGATAATTATTATAATCAGTCTAGTGATGATGATGAAATAATATGTATAAAGTTGTAATTATAATAAATTAGTAAAAATATACTTACTATTAACTGTTTGCATTGTTTTACTAATTACATATATTCACAGATGATCAAATGGAAATGTAACACAAATTTTTCTATAACCACGAACGAAAAAAATAATAAATGATTTTTTTGAAGTTTTTTTTTATCCCATAATTTTTTTTAAAGTTAAAAGCTTATATAAAAATTTTAAAATATATTTTAAGAAAGTTAATGTAAGAGAATTTCTATAAATTAATTTATAATTTTTTTAAAAGATTATTCTTTTTTTTTTTCCTTCTTATTTTTATTGTTGAGTGCTTACCCAAATTGTTAAATATTATTGATCCATGTAATCATTTATACTTCTTCTTTCTCTCAAAATATACTTTTAATACAAAACATATATATCTAAGTGTTTGTTGCAATTTAAGTAATACGCATCTTAAATAATATGTCATCAATTTACTTTAAGTAACGCATCTATCCAAAAATAAAATTTATAATTGTTATAATTTATGAAAAAGAATCTCTTCATCCACCAAAATCATCTCCAAGGATTTTGTTTACAATGGATTCTTAAACTCTGGCAGCCTCCACAATCATCTTCCAGTCAATTCTCCCTGTTGCATTATCCTTTAGTAATATAAACCTCTAAGCCATATCCTTTAAAAAGAACATGAAAGTAAAAAGGATAAAATTTTTAATAATATTTTCACTAATCATTTTTTTTTGTGAAGATGAAAATTTCAAACAGAAACAAAAACAAAAAACTACACTATCCAACAATGAAATTTATAATTGTTATAATTTATGAAAAAAAATCTCTTCATCCACCAAAATCATCTCCAAGAAATTTTTTTGCAATGGATTCTTAAACTCTGGCAGCCTCCACAATCTTATTATACGAACTCTTATCTTCTGGTCAATTATTCCCGCTACAATGTCCTTTAATAATGCAAACTTCTGAGCCATGTCCTTTAAATAGAAGATGAAAGTAAAAAGGATAAAACTTTTAATAATATCTTCACTAATCATATTTGTTTTTTGGTGAAGATGAAAATCTCAAATAGAAGCAAAAACAAAAACTACACTATCTAACAATGAAATTTATAAATTTTATAATTTATGAAAAGAAAACCTCTTCATCCACCAAAATCATCTCCAAGGAATTTGTTTGCAATGGATTCTTAAACTCTGGCAGCCTCCACAATCTTATTATACGAACTCTTATTTTCCAGGCAATTCTTCCCTCTGCAATGTCCTTTAGTAATGTAAACCTCTAAGTCATGTCCTTTAAAAAGAAGATGAAAGTAAAAAAGATAATACTTTTAATAATATGTTCACTATACATCAACATTGAAAGAAACAACCTTTAAAATTAAAACTTCATATAAGCTTACCTAAAAATGGTTTTCCTATGATTGATAGAGAAGGTATGAATCCTCAGATTAGAAGTACAAAAGTACCCAAATCAAAAAATGGATAATGTATATATGGAGAGAGTATTTTTAGAAATAGGGAGAATGATGGAACTGAACAATCAGAATGAAGTTTTGAAAAGAAAAATGCTTTAAAAATTAGAGGATAGTTAAGATCAATTGGCATTGAAAAGCTGCAACCAATGCATAGGAAATAGATATTCATAATTGCTTCTTTGAGTGGAAGACAAAATGCAAGCAATTTGATGGAAAATGTATAAAGAAGAGAGGAAGAGGAAGAGTTTTTCTTTTGTATAAAGCAAAGTAAAGAAAAGGAAAATGTGAAAGATGAAATTGATATCATGATCTTTTATATAAATAAATATATATATATATATATATATATGAAAAATTTATGTGAGTAGAATGAGATGAAAATAGACCTTAATGGGAGGAAAAACCCTTTCAGCATAAAAACTATTATCTTTCTCCTTCCTTTGAGTTTGTTACTCTTATCTCTCCTCGTTTTATAATTCAATTTTTTTTATAACTCTTATACTACTTGATTGTTTTTAAGTGACATAAAATTCTGATTGAATATCAATAGATATTTTTATTCAAAATAAGTCTTTTAAAATCTTATAAAATCTTAAACTAATAAAAAAAATTCTTTGAAATCCTAATCCAATTCATCCCTTAATTAAATACTACACTTGTCCTGCATATGTGATTCTGTTTAGGATCGGTGATTGAACCGGAGTGTGCAAAAAGAAAAATAATGAGGAATGAATATCAATGTATAATTATTACTCCTTGAATACGATTTGTAAAATAAGCTATTTCTACTTTGCGTTCGTATTTGAACAAATGTAATTTAAAATAACCTTTAAATGTCAGCGGATGTAAACGTTTCTACACTTACATCCAAAATCAGCTGAATCATTCAAGACGCGCATCAACGCAGAAAGAACAACTACCGAAATCACAAATCCGCCGCAAAAGAGTGAAGGAACTGGAATTCGGACTAGAAGAAGGAGAATTATACGTACCAGAGAATCGAAGATGAGATAGGGCCTAAACGAAAACCCTAGGATTGAATTTCACGGTTAACACTTAACGACTTCGCTCCATTCGATTTTCTCTCATGGCTCTGCAACTCAAGCCTCGCGTGATCATGCTGGAGTTTCATTCTCTCTTGTTTTTCCGTTGCTTTTCTTCTTTTGATATTCATAAAATTGTTCTTTATTTTTAGCAGGGGGAAAAAGATGCGCTTCATTAATTTTCTTCTTTTGATATTTATTTTAAAAAACAAAAGATAATAAAGTGAGTAATTATAAAAATAAATAAAAAATTACTAATAGAATTCTTCATTTTAATTTTTTAATAATTGAAAAATATAATAATCTAATAAATGTGTACACAAAAAGTAACTTAATGATTGAAAAGTATAATATTCTAATAAATGTGGACACAAAAAAGTCTCGTTTGTTGACTTATATATATTAGTCGATAGTATTGATTTTGATATATATAAGACAAGCCTCCTATGCTATAGATAAGTAAAATTAATAATAGGATGTTTGAAAATTTGGGTCAAATAGTACGGTGCAGAAGATCAATGAAAGTCTATTCATCCAATACAATAATAATAAAGCAAAGAAATGTGTTGATGCGACTAGGACAATTCAACTGGGAAGCTTCGGATAGCAAAGAAAGCGTGACAGAATTCAATAAGAAGCAAAACTTGACTTTAGCATAACCCTTATGGAGATTAAAATAAGTACCACCATTGAATGATTAAGCTCAATCATTCTTGTAAATGCATTGTTATCTTCCATTCTTCTAAACATAACCAGGAGACTTCAATTTCAATCATTAACAACTTTACAATTTACTATACAGAGTTTAGGAATGAAAGGACGCTTTCTACTTCTCATGTTTCAACTCTCTTTAACTCTTCCTATCATTGTTCATGCTCAGAATCAATCAGGTTTGGTAGCCTCATCTCATCTTATTGTCATGAATCCTACAACTGCTTATCGTTCTCATAACTTAATATTTCACCTTTTGCAGCCTTCATTAGTATTGATTGTGGACTTGTGGATGAACCAAGCTACACAGATGAAACTACTTCCATCTATTACTCTTCGGATGTCAATTTCACAGACAGTGGTGTAAGCCACAGCATATCACCTAAATATAAGGCTTCCCTTGACAGGCAATTCTGGAAAGTTAGAAGCTTCCCAGATAGAACCAGGAACTGCTATACCCTTGTTGTTCCTCAAGGAAGTGACAAAAAATATTTATTGAGGGCCAGGTTTGCATATGGAAATTATGATGGAAAAGACTTTCTTCCTGAATTTGATATCTATCTTGGAGACAGGTGGTGGGGATCTGTGGTGTTTGAGGATGTATCTAGTGTAGTCACCAAGGAAATCATTTATGCTGCTTCATCAGATTATGCTCATGTTTGTTTATTCAACACGCACAAGGGTACACCTTTTATTTCAGTTTTGGAGCTTAGAGTTCTTAACGGTGATGCCTATCTAGCTAACTATTTGGAGCTATTGGCACGGTATGATGTAGGCTTACATGATGGTGAAATAATCAGGTGAGCCATGTTACAATATAACCAAGTTATATCATGGAACTACCACTTTTAATATAATAATAATGTTCTCTTATGTTTTTCCCTATTTTTCCTTTCCCAAAGATATCCAGATGATGTCTATGATAGAATGTGGACACCTTATAACTCAATTGACTGGAGAAAGATAGATACCACCCTCACCATAGATCAAGATGCTATTTCATATAATTTTTTACCATTGCCACCCTCTGTTGTCATGGAAACTGCAGCAATTCCAGCAAATGTCAATGGTGATATAAATTTCCGCTTCCTCCCCAAGAATAATGCCTCCTCCTCATGTTATGTGTACATGTACTCTGCTGAAATTCAGAAGCTCCAGGCAACTGAAATTAGAGAGTTCAACATTTTTGTAGATGGGGAGATTTTAAATAATGCTCCGATCAATCCTTTGTACCTGCAGAGCGTGTATTATGCAGCTATTTCAAGTGAACGTCCGTTGGAACTTTGGATCAACAAAACTAGTAGATCAACTCTTCCACCTCTCCTCAATGGCATTGAGATATACATGGCAAAAAACTTCTCACAATCAGAAACATATCAAACAGATGGTATGTTCTTGGATAAGTTGATTTTGCAGACCATACACGTCATCATCCACATGCACTACCTCTTATTATTATTCGTAGTACTATATTTTCTACCTGACCTGCTTTTATTTTCGATACTAGTTGATGGTATCATAAATGTCAAGTCAATCTATGGGATCAAGAGAAACTGGCAAGGAGATCCTTGTACTCCACGGACTTACTTGTGGGATGGTATTAACTGCAGCTATGCTGAATCTGGTTCACCAAGGATCATATACTTGTGAGTTTGGCACAATTTACACATATTTTGATCCTTTAGTTTTAACTTTTAACTGCAATTTATAGTTTATCTTCAATAATATTAATGAACCTTACAACCATGCTTTTAGGAACTTATCTTCCAGTGGTTTAATTGGAAATATAGCTCATGGCATATCCAATCTGCAGTCCATAGAATATTTGTAAGTCGCTGAATCTGTCAATACAAATAGCAAGCTATATAGTTGATGATAACAAAATGATGCTTGCTCATACTGCTGAGTAAAAATTGTTCCCATTTTAGGGATTTGTCACACAACAATTTGACTGGGGTCGTGCCTGAATTCCTACATCAACTACGCTTCTTACGAGTTCTGTAAGTCAACTACTTTGATTAGGATATATTCTATAAAGAGATAGAGCTTTCGAAAGGCCAAAACATCCAAGGTGAAATTGATTTTTAATTAACTTTGTTGCTTGAATTGTTTAAAAAACATAGTAAGAATGCCAACGTGCATCTTACTGTAAAAAACCTCAACTGGTCTACCTCTCCATAGAATTTTTTTTTTAATTTGTGTATTTTTTTTTAAATTATGAAAGCATGTATAAATGATTTATTTTTTCCTTGATTGAAGAAACCTAGGAGGCAATCAACTATCAGGAACAATTCCAACGCAACTCATTGTACGTTCAAAGAATGGTTTGCTTGAATCCGAGTATGTTTTAGATTATGCCCTGCTTCTGTTAGGACTTCATTTCCCATGAGCTATTCATTTATTTCGTAACATGTTCATTTTTTTTCAATTGTAAATTCAAGTTTTGGTGGAAATCCAAATCTTTGCGCCCCCGGTTCATGCAACAAGAAGAATGGGAATAAGGTTGTAGTTTCACTGGTGGCATCTCTCGGTGGAGCTTTCATTATACTAGTGATAACTGTGATTTCTTTATGCATATACAAAACGAGACAAGGTACCATGTTGTCTTTATATTCTATTCACAATGAGGGAAGGAAAATAAAAAGAGAGAAAAAAAAAAGAAGATAATTTATCCTAATTTGAGTATGGGTGGCAAAGATTTCATTAGTTTGATTCAAATTTCAAAATAATAGTGATGGGAAGGATTTTGTACATTGTCATCCAATCATGAATATTGCCATATATGGTAATATCATTGAGTTTTATAATAACTATATTAAAAGTCATGTCTACCATGATTTCTAATTGTTTAACAGTGTAAAAACGACCATGTATCAAAATCAAATTATTTTTTTTGTTAATTTGTGATTGCCTTTTTATTTTGAAGATATATATAAAGGAAAGATTATCTAAGAATTGTATTGTGAATCAAATATAAATACAAATGTACAAAAATTAGCAGATATGTTCTCTCTATACATGAACATCAACAATGTTTCTTCCCACAGTTTCAACTCGTCGGAGCAAGCAGATTGCTTATTCCACAATAAAGGAGGAACTAGAGTCAAATAAACAAGAATTCACCTATGCCGAAGTCTTGAGCATTACCAGAAATTTTGAAAGGGTTGTGGGAAAAGGAGGATTTGCTACAGTATACCTTGGCTGGATAGATCAAGATACTGAGGTAGCTGTCAAAATGCTCTCTCCCTCAGCTCAAGGATGTCTGCAATTTCAGGCAGAGGTAGCATGATTAACTTCAAATAACATCATACTTATATATATAATATTATAATGATATTTTATTTATGTTAACTGAATTAATTGTTGCTTTCTGATTTACAGGCCAAACTTCTTGCTGTAGTTCATCATAAATTCTTGACTTCTCTAATAGGATATTGTGACGATGGCGAAAATATGGCTCTCATCTATGAGTACATGGCTAATGGAGACTTAGCAAAACATTTATCAGGTAGTGCTTGAGATCACTTCAATCCATTTAATTTTATTTCTCACAGAGTGTTACAATTTCCACTTTTCCTAGATAAAAAAGCACAGATAATAAGTAAATGCTTCTAATTGTAGATACTGTGTAAAACCTCTAAACAGTCGATGAATGCCGATAAAACATAACAAGCAATTCAAGTTAAATCAGATACATTTAGATGAAGCCTAAAAATTGAGTCAAAGATCAGTTGTATGTATCGGAAATCAAATTTTCTCTATATATTCTACAACATAATCCAAGAATGATGTCTTTTCTTTCTCTTTTTTTTTTTTCTTGCCCTGATTTAAAATTCATGCATTCCGTGGTTTATCCCAAAAAATGTAGGCAAAGCCAAAAATATATTGAGTTGGAACCAACGACTTCAAATTGCAGTGGATACTGCAGAAGGTAAGTATGGAAAGAATCCTTTGCTCCTTTGTGTAAGTCAGAGTTTCATGCAACAAAATATAAGTTGAACGTTTTTTACCGTAGGATTGGAGTATCTGCATCATGGCTGCAATCCACCAATTGTTCACAGAGATGTGAAGTCTAAAAACATTTTACTGAATGAAAAATTCCGGGGCAAACTAGCTGATTTTGGGTTGTCAAAGATCTACCCCGATGAAGGTGACACCCATATGACCACAGTGGTAGCTGGTACCCCTGGATATCTTGACCCTGAGTAAGTTTTTATTTTGACTCAAGTCAAACCCTGTTGGCAAAACTCAAAAGTCAAGTGTTTTAATGAATACAACGTTTCATATAAATTTTTATCCTGCAGGTACAATAGATCACATAGGTTGAAGGAAAAAAGTGATGTTTTCAGTTTTGGGATAGTTTTGCTTGAGATAATTACCGGTCAACCTGCCATAACCAAAACTGAAGAGAAAACTCACATAATTCAATGGGTTAGTTCTATATTACTTGAAAGGGAGATGAGTGATATTGTAGATTCAAGATTACGGGGAGAATTTGATATTGATGCCGTAAAGAAGGTCTTAGACACTGCAATGGCATGTGTAGCAACCACTTCCATTAATAGGCCAACCATGAGCCATGTAGTTAATGAACTGAAACAATGTTTGGGTTTGGCAAAGAGGATGAGTCCTCCTCCGTCTGAATCTGACGATCATGAGAGTTCAACGAACAGCTTAATCACTGTCTCCTTTGATGGAATTAGTGGAGAAAGCTCTCTAGAAAGATAGTAAATTGTTGGGGTTATTTTATGGTATTTGTGTGTGGAGATATTTTATAAGAGTTATTTTTATAAGGTTTTTCACACACAACTCTATATTGTCCGTTTTGGGCCAAAGTCCTTACGGTTTTGTTTTTGGTCATCATCCAAAAAGTATTTCTTTTATTGAAGTATGCGTGTGTTTTATAAGTTTTTATTTTTTCTCTTATTTTATTGATATGAAACTTGTTAATATCTCATCATAAGAGTTATTTTTTATAAGAATTATTTTTATTTCTCTTATTTTATCGATGTGAAACTTGTTAATATCTCATCATAAGCCTTACGATTTCTCTTATTTCTCTTACAGTTAATATTTTATAAGAGTTATTTTTATAAGGTTTTTCACGCACAACTCCACATGATGAGATATTGTCCGCTTTGGGCCTAAGCCTTTACGGTTTTGTTTTTTGTCATCATCCAAAAGGCTTTTCTTTTATTGAAGTATGTGTGTGTTTTATAAGTTGTTATTTTTTCTCTTATTTTATCGATGTGAAACTTGTTAATATCTCAACAATAGTTATTATTTTTTCTTTCCCTCAAACAAGGGACCTAACCTTAAGTTATGAGGGTTATCCCAACAATCTTTCCCTTAAACAAGGGACCTAATCTTGAATTATGAGAGTTTTATTTTTAGTCGTCACCCAAAAAATCTCTCTTACATTGAAGTATGTGTATATTTTATAAGTTGTTATTTTTTCTCTAAATTTATCGATGTGAGACTTTATATCCCAACACAAATTTAGGCAACTGTATTTTATATTTGTTTCTTCCTTACATGACAACAGTTTTGTGGACATAATAATTACACGTGACTTCGAAATATAGGGAAATCAAATCTATAAAGAAAACTAAAATAAAATCTTAAAACTTCTTTCCTTAAAATCAGTAACATTTGTGCACAAAATCCTGTCCTGGATGCCCCTAAGTTAGAAAAATGAAATATTAATGTTATTTTAGTTTCATAATTTTTAATTCACTACTACATTTTAATTCTTTAGTAACATTTTCTTTCTTACATTTGTTAAAATGTTACTATATATTAAATAAATAGGTTATTTTGCAATATATTTTTTTAGAAATGTCATTATAGATAGAGTAACATTTTTTATTTTAATATTATTCTTTTAAATTATTTTCAAAATCAAAGTCACATATCGAGTAAAAAAATGTCACATAGGTTATTTTGTAACATTTTCTTGAAAAATGTTACTGTAATTGCTTCTAGAATCAAAGTCTCACATCAAGTAAAAAAAAGTATATTTCTCTCATCTCTAATTGTTACCCATATTTAAAGTCTCACATCGAATAAATGAAAAAACTTATAAAGAGTATATATAATCATATAGTTATACTTAAGATAAATGAACTTTGATATTTGACATATAACCAGTGACTAATTAAGAATATCTTTAATCTTCTCTTGAAGAACTCCTAGAAATTTAGGAGACATAAAAATATAATAATTGATAATAATATCTAAATATAATAATTATTAAAAATAATAATTGATAACTACTTTGATAACATTTGAAAAATGTTGCCTAATTATATAAAAATGTTATTAAAAGTCTTTAGCAACATGGACTATATACAATATTTGATAATATGTTACTAAAGCAATTCAGTAATATTTATACACAATTTGGTAACATTTTTTAAATGTTACTAAATGTTTTTTTTGTTGTAGTGATTTTACAATTTTGATCATTTATTATTATAAAAAAAAACAGTAAATTTTGTCCACTTATTACATGTTCATTAGTAAAATTGTGATGGAAAATAACGTGATAATAATATTTAAATTAGATTTAATAAAATATAATATACAATATAAAATAAATGAGAGAAATTAAGAAGAAGCTGTAGAAACATGGAGAATGTGAAAAAAAAAATGGTGAAGAAGGATAGATGGGGTGTCACGTAACCTCCTTTATACAATATGTTTTATATGTTTTTCTTAAAGGAAAATGTTTTATATGTTATACTTAAGTTTTATCTTTTAAAAACAAAGATCGTGTAATTTATGAAGGTAAAAGTTTAGTTTTAATTAAAGAATAATATTTAAAATACTTGAAAAATTGTAATTTTGTACTTAATTAAATATATTAACCAACATAGGATAAGAGATATTTCTTTTTGAGTTATCAATATATTGTTAATTTGAATATAATTAAGTTTGAATTTCTTAAATAGCATCTCAGTTTTGAACTTTGATGGAAAAAATTTAGTTGGAAAGGAAAATGTAAATTCTTTAAAGGAAAATAAAGTGAAAGAAAATAAGGAAGAATGAGATAGAATAAAATGTTGAAAATATTGTATTCTTACCATTAATTTGTTTGAGATAAATAAAGATGAAAAAAATTATTTTCACGGACCCATAAAAAATATTTTCCTCCCAAATTAAATGGGAGGAAAATGATTTTTTTTCATAAAAAGTTATAATATATTTTTTAAAAAACAATAAACAATTTTATCTTAAAAATATATTATATTAAAATTACATTTTTTAACTATAATAAATATATGCTGTAAAAACACAATTATAAATATATTATATATATATTTTATATTTTTTTTCACTGGTGAAAATTCATTTTACTTTTTTTTTATTTCTATGCATCCAAATAACATAATTTTTTTCATTCTATTTCTCATTTTTATTTTTATTCCTTATCTTGTTTCAAATAAAGTATAAAAGTGGCAAATGGAGTTCAAGTTCAACAATAGAAGGAGTTCACAGAAATATTTCTCAAGAGACATGCAATTTAGTGATTGGGAGATAAAGTTGAACGGAGATAATCAAAACCAGGTCGAAGATGTGATCCTTTTCACAACAGAAGTTCTAAAATTTAGAAATTAAAGGAGCCCAACTATAGCCTCTTCAACTTTCAAGCAAGTCAAGACTCTTTCTCACTCCACGTCCTTAACCTTCAATCATGCACAAGGTTATCAATTCTTTTAAAATATTATAAATAAAGTCTTTTAGAATGTCTAATGCACATATATCTTTATTATATATAATTAAAATTTAGAATCAATTATATATAAAAATAAATATTATATTTGAATATATAAATTATATTTCAAATTTGTATAAATAGAGTTATTTTTAAATATATAAATTATATTTTGGATTTATGATAAATAATTTATATTTTAGTATAAAAAAATATGTTTATCTATTGATAATTTATTCTAAAATATTAATATTTAATTTATAAATAATTATGATAAATAAAAAATTAAATTAGATAAGAAATTAAAAAATTATTATAAATACTCTATTAAAGAAAAATCTTTAAAAAAACACTTTCATGCAAAATAAAATTTATGTTTAATATATAGAAGTTGATGTAAGAAATTACTTTTCAAGATAAAAAAAATAAAATAGATTTTTTAACAGCTTTTCTTGATGTATGTATATATTTTAGCTAGGGAGAGAGAGGAAAAAAAATATGTATTTAATATATGAATTGTTAATGTAAACCTTTTTTTTTTTTTACAATATCACCCCATTAAAAAATATTTTAATATTATTTTTAAGGTAGTTATTATAGTTCAGATAGAGAGTACCTTGATCACCTTTTGAGCATCAAATTTGGAAAAGCAGTGCCCAAGCGATATAGGAAGACATACAGTGAAAGTTTCTTGTAACACTTCAATATTCAAGTCATTAAAAGCTTGAGTCCAGTAAGAGAGTATGAAAAAAAAAAAAAAAACAAATATGTGAAGTGATTTAATATAATTACCAATCAATGAGAGAAAATTGTTATCCTAGCCTCCTAGGTGGATAGTTTGTTATGACATCACCTGTGGGTTGTTTAGTTTAACTTTGACTAAATCAATCTAAATCTGTTTAAGTTGAAATAAATGTGACTAAATCAGTTTAGGCTTGATGGCTCATTTGTGATTGTGCGGGAACACTTCTCCCTAACAGTTATGAAAATCAACAAACTCTTATGTCAACAATGCTTATCCACCTTCACTCATCAATTTTAGTGATTTTTTTCTCAATTATATTTTTTACCTATAATATTTGAATTTGAGATCTTATATAAAAAAAAAAAAAATTTTAATCGAGTTCAATTCTATTCGAATCAATAATTTATTGATAATAAAATAAAAGCATATTTTTAATAACTAATAATTTATTTTAAAATATTAAAATTTTGTTTAAAAATAAATGATAAATAAATTATATATATATATATATATATATATATAATTAAAAGAACATATAAAAATGCTCTAGTCTAGCTAAAGATAAATCCCCTATAAACGATATAACCTTGTTTTCAATTTATTTTTTTATCTTCAAATATTTATACAAAAAATTCTAAAAAATTCTGTAGAATCCTTTGAAAATAAAAGTTAATTATAATAAGGTAATAATTTTGTAATTAAATGTGAAAAAAATGAAAGTAAGTAAATAGAGCTCTGCAAATGTGTATTTTAATTTATAACATAAAAATAGATTGTTCTGTAATTTTAAAATATAACATAAATTCAAAGATAGTTATTTATTAGTTATTTATTACAAATTTTAATTACAATATAACTTATATATTAAACAACAATTATTCATTTTAAATTTAACTATATAGAAATAGGCATTTATCTCATATAATAGATTTAACTTAAACTTGAGATGGAAAGAAGAATTAGTGGAGTTTTATATTTGGTGTTGATAAATGGTGAACAAAAAGTGGGAATAATTCTAAAGCATGACAGACGAAAGGCCGAAAGGGTTTCATTTTGTACTGGAAAATGCCACATGCAGATACAGTAGCAAAGAGGCATGTGCTTAGCGAAGATATTCGTGCCAAATTAAAATAATCTATGTTCTATCACCAAACCCACATCATGTTTCGTTGTAGCCGTCGTTATCATAGTCATCATCATTAACAATATCATTAGTTTCACTAATATTTAAGAACTTCTTCGGAACTTTTGAACAAGACACACAGGTTTTATATACATATTGCTTATGACAAACACCCCTGCCAAAAAAGAAGAATATACACGTGCTGAGCAATGAAATTAGAGTGATTTTCAAGAGCACGCTTTGGGTTGAATCAAGGAGACAGGACCACTGACTGAGTTCACTACTCTTAAGAGAATGTCTCTCGCATTGGTTATAGCTAACAAAAACATTATTAAAAAAACCCTTGAAGATCTCCAAGAAAAAAAAAAGAAAAAAAAACACTTTAAGTACATTTATTGCATTAAACTATTTTAAACGAACTTAAAGTGGCAATCACTTTCTAGCCCTTGATCTTAATCATGGGTGTTATTATTGCTAGACCTTTCTGCAAGCTAAAAGGTTGTGTAGTTCACTTCCATTACTTTCACTACTTTTACTATAACCATCTTTGTTCGTAAAAGTAAAATGTAAAAAAAACATCACTGTAACCAAAAGTTATTCACTCACTCATGCACGCCCATGTTTATCATAGCAACTAGAAATTGTCATCATTAATAAGAATTTTAAACAAGTCTCACTGTCGATATTCTCAAGAAAATTACAAGATTGACTACTAATGAACAAATTTGCAGTTTGGCCTAGGACATGAGCATATGTTAATCATAGTCACTGGATAAATAATTAGAGTTATGGATTCTCAGACCCCTTTTTACACCTTTTCTTCTTCCATGCTAATAATCATTTCAAGTTTTCAACCCTTGGAATGTTGGATGTGGCTGCTAGGGTTTTGGATGGGGAAATGTGTTTGTACGGGAAAAGAAGGGTTGAAAGAGAAGGCTATGTTAGTTGGAGGACAATTCATTGTGTCAAGCTTGTTACCTAGATTTTCTAGTGCTTTGACTTGTGATCTGAGAAACTTGAGGTAGTTTGCAGCTTCATCAAGCATTGATGCAGTGTCCATCTTGCTTCCACCAGGCACAATCTTCTGCAAAACCCTAATCCTCTCACTTATTCTCTCCCTTCTTTGCCTGGCAGCCACAGTTTGTGGATCAGTTGATATCTTGACATTCTTCCTTTTAGGCTTCTCTACCACTTCCATGCCCAAGTTCACTGGCCTAAAAGCTGCAGCTCTATATATCATTTCCTTCATTTGTGCTATGGCCTCAGGATCAGGCTCTTCTAAGGAAGAAGGTGTCATAGATGAATTTGGCTGCTGGAAGTTGATGTTTGATGAACCAGGACGCTTATGATCCCACTTGGGTTTCTTGGACTTCGGTAAAGTCTCCGAGATAAGCCTGAAACCACCTTCAGTGGTAGAAGAATTCTGAGCAATGCTGAAGCAGGAATTGCTCCTTTTTGTGCAAATAACTTCAGAATCTATAACTCCTCCTGGAGTGAGATATTTATCAGAGAAACTTTGAGATACTGTTTCATCCAGCTCATTGACTTGATACCCCATGTCACTGTTTTTACTTCTAGCATTGGACGCATTGCTCTCAGACTCACCAGATGAAACTGCACTGCCATAACTGAAGTTCCATAAGTTTCTGCAGTCAGATAAAATCATGGAAATCCCGTCATCGTCTTCGACAGACGTGTCTGTGTTGCTGTTATTAGTGGCTGAAAGCAAGCAATCAAGTGACTCAAGAGAGCATGTAGCCTTGCCGTTTTGTGTGCCATTGATAAGGTGTTGTTGCTGGTGGACCATGTTGAAATCTGCCACATAGTTACTAGTTTGGTTCACATTGACCGAAAGGGACGGGCGTGATGTTAAAGCCTCTTCCCAAGTGGCTCCAGCTGCTCGTGATTTCACAGGCATGGTTGATGCTCTTTGTACCAGTAGATTTGTGTTTCTGTTTGCCATCACACTCATCATCTCAGAAGTGGATGACTCAACCATGTCCCTCACTTTTTCAGAACTGGGATACAGAAAACCCGTTTGATTGAGAACACTTGAACTTAGGTGGGGCATGGGGTGGTAGTGATATCCTTCAAGGTCTTGGGGCTCAGTGCTCCACAAGATTGGACTGTTAGCAACAAGTTGTGATGATCCATCCCAACTTAGACCATCCATAGATGACTAATTGACAACAATCACTTATGAAGTGAAACTAAAAGAGATCCACTCGAAAGTTAAATGACAAAGTGATCCTTCTTACCTATATATCATTTTGAAGACAATAATTAATACATGATATAACATACACATACATCTAAAGTGGTCGCTTCATTGATAGAGATTAATGTCTGTAAATATTTTGTATCAATAACATAATTATAAAAAAAAAAAATATATATATATATATATATATATATATATATAGTTACATTCAGGGTTTCGAACATAATTGTCTTCAAATACGATATTGTGGAAAGCCAAAAAATATATGTTTAGGTACAGATATATAAATATTGTGTAATGTGTTGAAGGGCTTACCAATTCTAGATCCAGCTGCTTCCAAACTCATGAGCCAACAAGATGAAAAGAATTGTTGCTTGAGCCAGTAACTGAACAGAAGAGGATGTACCAATTTGCGTACAATTTGGTAGTAGCATTAACTGCCTTCTTCAATTGAGTAGGATGAAGATTGTGACAAAGGAAAGAAAACAATTAAAGCTTATGTCAGATGGGGCAACTGAATTTTATGTACTGTTTCATTATGAACAGTGACATAATGACTTTAAATTATAGTTCTGTGCTTGAAAACATTGACCAGATACGTTTAACAAACTGATAAGAGAATGAAAAGTGAGAGAATAAAGGTTGTACCTTCTTTAGATACCATGGAATACCAGTACTGATGATGCAGTGTGGTTATTGAACAGAAGCTTATATAGATCGAAAGAACAAAAGGTACTAGTATAAGCTTTTACAATAAAAGTAAAAAAAATATTGGAACTTGAACAATTATGTCATGGAATTGTGTAATAAATAGGCATTGATCATGCATTATGCTAGGAAAAAAATATGAGGAGAGGGTATATAATATGCTTTAACAGTTTTGAGCAGTACAATGGTTTTATGGAAAAGATAAGGCTAATGGGTGTGTAAGACTAAATTTTTGCAGAGGGGAAGCATGAAAATTTTGAATCTGGTTTGATTGAATATTTTATTATCTTTTTGTATTCTTTTTAAGTGGGGAAAGCTCTGACCTCTTTTTGGTTGCTTATGGATACTCCATGCGCACTGTAAAGTTGCAGTGAAAGTGAGAGCATCTGTTACTGCATCACCCTCTTTTCAAAGATTTTTGTTAATCATAGTTTTAATCATAGCCTTGTGATATTTTTCACTTTCTTCTAACTTAATTGTTTAAGTCGGGGTGGTAAATTCTTTGAGGAATCTACTGATTAAATCAGAAGCACAGTACTGATTTAAGATTCAACCTTTTTGCAAATTTGAAATGCTCCGAACTGAAAACTTAGTCAAATTTGTGAGTTTTACTTATATATTTTATAGGACTCCTCTGCATCTCTTCTCTGCTTTTTATGTAAATGCTTTATCAGTTGTATTAAGGATAGGGAACCCCAATTTCGTCATCTCTTATCCCTTCACTAAATATGTTTAACAACATCAAAAGCTTCATGTAAAAAGTGGATTTTTTTGGTAGACCTGTAATAAGTGAATTGTATAATAAAAAAGTGTGATATACGAGCAACACTTGAAAATTTATTAGGAAAAAATATGTAATGCGCAATTGGACATCGAAAGGATTTGGTTTACAAATATTTTTTTTAGTTTAATTCTTATACGCCGTTAATGCAAGTTTTTTAACTGTTCATCAGTTAGAAATAATAGAAGATATTTTTAAGATTTTTATTATAAAAGTTAACTACTAATTCTACAAGATAACTTTTTACTTGTGATTGAATGTTAATAAAATAGTGTATAGAATATTTTCTTTATTCTTTTGTCATTAACAATAGTGTAAACACTTTCCACGTAAATATCTTACAATAAGACAAGAGATAGGAAGAGAACAGGAAAAAAAAATGAATAATATGATAGAAGATAAAATAAAAAGTTGAAAAAAGTGGAAGTGAGAAAATTGCTTCCGGAATAGTATTATAGTGAGATGTGTGGAACATGAAACGTGGTGGCAGGCTAGCAACGACGGTCAAATTAGGAGATAGAGATAGCAAGTTGGCATGGCTATACCATTTTGTCTGCTCACGTTTTTGTTTATCTTTCAACTTTATTACGCCTTCTTTTCTTCCTTACACGAACACCAATTGTTTACTACTTTCTGATTATTTTCATATTCTTTTCTTTTATTTTATTTTTTGTCTGTACCACATTTCAACCGGATATAATATTATCATGACAGTTAATTTTTCTACTCAAATATTTAACATAACTATACATTTATCATTCAAATATTTAATACAACTATATATTTATGATTCAAATTTATGTGCTGATGTTATTCTTTAATTTCTACATAATATATAATTAAATATTATTAATTGTTTATTATAAATTAAATATTTGAAAGCCTAGCATGTAAAACATTAGTAACTATAAATACATGATGATCCGAAGCGATATTTTTATTAATAAAAATTATAATAATAACAATAAAATTTAAACTCAAGACCATGTATACCTTATATTATCTCAACTTCTACTAATATTTTCATTAGTCTTTGCCTGCTACATCATGGAATATTATTAAAAAAGAATTAATTTTAAATAACATTTAAGCATGTCATATAAACAATAATCAAAAATTTAAGATTAGGTAATAATTTGAAGGAATCTGAGTTGTGATGAGGCATATAGCAGCGGCTCACATGCGCCCCATCATGATTACAGCTCAGTGAATGGGTTCCCATGGCATTTCCTATGTCAACTCTCATGTTTCTCTTCATCTTCACCACATACAGTAAAAATGGTAGCACACATTTCGTAAGCAAAGTAAATGAATATCAGTTTCAACTTTAAAATCATATTATGATAGTGATAACGAAAATGTTACATATTTTACTTTAAAAGTACCATAAGGTTAGAGTCAAATTGATATTCAACTTGACATTTTTCTCTAAATTGAATTTTACCATATGTTTATTTTTATCTAGATTAAAATAATGTTTGATGATATTAATTTTTAGTTATAAGTTTTGCGGTGAATTATTTTGATAGGAAAAAAAAAATTCCAGAATCCTGCACTCAAATGTCACTACTTATTGTCAGCTTCTTATCTACTTCATGTAGTCTTGTTTTTTTCTGACGTAATAATAACGTTTCAGTCCAATATGTTGGTTTTATCTTCCATTTATTACGAGCTCTATCTTTATAGCATTTTCTTAACATCGACATTATATTGTTACATTTTATTATATTTATTTTTATATTTTCTCTTTTTATATATAACATCACAAATCTAAAAAAATAACTTTAAAAAAACACATTATATTTCCTTAGGCGTCTATTAAAAATTTATTTCTATCAACTACTTGTTTTGAAAATAATCAAGTGATGACGATATATTGTTTCACATAATCCAAATGAAGTCTAGTTCTTTTCTTCAAAAATATATTCATATTATGCATATATAAATACAAAGTTTGGAATTTGTAAAAAAAAAATATAAACTTCGGAATCAATTTAATTTTAAAAAATTAATGGCAATTTCTTATATAATTAAAAATGGAGTTTGAACTTTGAAGTGTGAAAATGGAGAAACCTCCATAACCGCATCCATTCATATTTGGTGTGCCCCATCCCAACCCAAGATTATCGGAGGAAGCATGTACATTAACAGGTGGAATATTGATTTAACTCCATCAGTGATCTTGCATTTTAGTCTTCGAGTATGTCTTTCGATATATTTAAAATAAATTTATATATCATTGTAGAATATAAGCTTAGATTTAACTTAATGTTATTAGACGTTTTGTAAGGTAGGAATTATCTTTCACATATATTTATATGTTTTACTTTGTTCATATTTTTAGTAGGTACGAAGCTTTATGTTTTTATCAATACGTTTTAACATATTTGATTTAACTCAATTTGATAAATTTAGCTAAATTTGTAATTTAACTTGAGTTTAATATTATTATTTTTTAGTTTAAACTCGACTTAATTCAAATTTATTAGTTTGAATTATATGAACTAAGAGTCAATTTGTTTTATGAATTTTATACATTTTAAATTTTTAATTTAATAATAAATTTTAAATAAAATTATTATTTAATTTTTGTTTTAAAATATAAAATATAATTTATTCTATTAATTTTACAAGACATATGACTAAAAATATAATTATAACAAAGCTTGTATAAATAAAAATCATGTATATTGCATCTTGTATAAAATAATAAAAAAAATTAATTTATAACTAAAATTCTAAAGTGTTTATTTTTTTATTATTTTAAACTAATAACTAAGTTTTGAATGTTATTTCAAATTTAAAACAAACTAAAATTAAGTAGAAAAAAAATTATATAAATTACATATTTATATTTCGAATTAAATGAATTTGTTTAGTTTATTGATGAAATTTAATCTTTAATTTAATTTCAATTTATTTGATTCATAAATTAAATTGAATCGATTAATTATCAAATAAAGTGTTAAATTATTTACAAGTTAATTTGGTTGATTGTGACTCCTATACCTAAATGCAGCAGGTTGTTGGAATAAAAATGTTTGTAATTAAAAATACATATGATCTAAACTGAACTTCCGGTGCTTATGGTCCCCAAGTTAGAATGTAGGACCAGGAGCCACAACCTTCAATTATAACAGCTCACACGTGAACAAAATGCTCTGCTTCTGACATGGCCACTTTTCATTGGTTGAAACGTGTGATTATGACTAGGGTGGGGACCACATCATCTCATCATTATACGAGAGTTAATCACTTATACACTATTAGTAAAAAAAATTTACATGAAAAATCAATTATATTTTTTATAAATATATTTATTTTTAACAGTAACATGATATAATTAAAAAATATAATTAATTATTAATGTAAAAAAACTTTACACTAAAAATATATATGGATGATTAACTCTGCCATACGATGCACTATATAATTTCAATCTTCTCATATTTCATGTTTTTTTTTCTTGCATATTTCTTTCTCTTCTCATGCATATTTCCAAGTTTTTCATCAAAAAAAAATTCAAAATAGGAGTTAT